AGACCGTTACTAATACTCTAAATTCATTGATAAGATAGATGAATTAAAGAATAACATCATCAGCGCCGGGGTTTTGGAACGTTGGCGGTTTGTGTGTTCACGTACAGCTTTTATTGCATTTCAAAAGAAAGAGAATATTTTGTACGAATGTCTATGAATACACAATTCGATCACATCCGCTTTACAGACGGTCACAACGACCCAAATCCAATTTGAATGCTAATAACAACTTTATTAATGACAACGGCCATCTGATAGGCTATTCGCGTGTCTCTAGGGAGCAAGTGTGTCCGAGTCGATAACGCCGAATCCCGGTCTTAGAAGTTATCTCCCCTTGATATCGATAACCTTACGGAAATGTCATCGGGCCCCCTTGTCATATAGACCTTTTTTCCATGCAGATTCATCACAACACTAATGGCGAGTTGTGAGTCACGTTTAACGAGTTAAAATCGTTTAGCATTTCATTATTTTGAAATTATACAGTAAATTAGACACTAATGTGAAACAGGTTCTGTTCAGTTGTCAAATGATATCGTTATCAGGGGACAAATTTATATAGATAATGAAATGGATTTTAGAAATAAAATCTCATTAATTTGCATTTTATTCCATTGACATGTAATATTTCCTCAGTAAAATTAATGTTTGTTACCGAAACTATGCATAATTACTGAGTGAAACTTGAAGATTTGTTTCCGGGCCAGCTTTCAAGATACAGCAGGCAAATATTTAGATTTAAGTAAGAAAATATGAGCTTGTTACCCTACCCTCGCTTAAGATATTGCCGGTATCCATAGCTGTTTCGGAAGATTAAATAGAAAAGTTTGTGTTTGGCAAAATAAACAATATACCTAGTACATATTATATTGTTTCATTAGCGAGGTGGCAGCTATGAGAATATTAAAAACCAGACGATAAAGGCTAAAGTTTGGTAAGGGTAACCATTTCTTATAAATTAGTTCGTTATATTTGTACACTGAAAGCAAACTTGTCAAATCAATGTAGTTGCGTTTATGTGCAAACACCTTGATTACAGAGAAAGGAAGTTTTATTATGCCAGAAATTGATTTGTCGTTTTGATTAGATATTTGGTAGATTTTGAAATCCATGTCTAGAGTATTGTACTGTTTAAGGTTATGCCAGGTTTGGGCGGTTGAGGAATCTGTAGTTAGCGGAGAAATACCACCGACCTGCAGGTCTCAAACCCGCAACTCTGAAATAGAGGTCTGGTGATAAAGACGGTTAGACGCCTTAACCACTTGGCCATCACTGCTCTTTGTCAGTTGATCGTCCTGGACACAATCAACAGAGAAGTCCATGAGAGCCTATTAAACCTCAGCAGTGTCACGTGTCACACATCTTTCTGCACATTTGTATTCAACGTACTTGTCCTTCCAGTCATTAGATATGAATGGTTTTGTATATAATTTTGATTTCGATGTTGCTGTAGGAAGAGTCAAGGACCTTCCTGCATATCCCTCATCTTGTACCAGACATGTTGAAGTCTAAATAGAAGCACGGGTTAGATGCCGCTAACACATCACTGTTGTACATGTATCATTCATGTGTGGCAGCAATATCACTTGAATGTCATGTCTGGCGTACCATACATAATGTCGCGCTACTTTTACTTTTTAAATATTTTATCTCACTGATTTAATACAGTATTGATTTTCTGTAAGTGGCTATATGTTCATAAGACATAGCTACGTCAAGGGCATGACATAATTGTGTTTTTCTCTCTCATTTTTTATAAGCCCTCACAAGACGGTTAGTTAATGTACATGACGTGATATAGCAATAGTTCAGTGATTATATCAACAGTTTGATTGTGACACCTTAATCATCAAATTAGAGAGATCAATATTGTAGACAACTAAACAAGGTCCCTTCTATAAGACTGTTCCAAATACCAATAAGATTAATTTTTTCAAGCGTTACGTTCACTGTCCCTGTGAGAATATTTCCATCGAAACCGTAATACTTGTAACTCATTTCAAACCAGCGCTAGATAGTTGAATGAAAAGCAGAATAGTCATGATCATGTCAACCCAAACGTATTCCACTGTATTAGCCCTCCGTGCATGTCACCAATTACAAACACATCACGTGACTTCCGTAATTATTGCCAATACTTCAATTGGTACTGGGGGGAGGGGGAGGAAAGGGGGGGAGAGAAAAAAATTTGATTGAAACTATCGATTGCGTTTAGTGACTCATCCAGATGACCTCGTTCTTTAGATGAAAAAATACGATTCAGTTTAACAGAACAATAATTACTAGTTCTATTGTTTATATTGGAGAAAACTGACAATGACTGATTTCGTATCCTTGTTATTTGGTGAAACGATCTGAGGCAGAAATGATTTCAAGTGAAAACTTTTTTTTACGTCAGGGAGAAACGTAAGATTTTCATACCTATCGCTTCCTGAGCTAAAGAGCGAAGCGAGATAACTCTTATGACTCTATGTCAATGTTTCAATGTTTGTTTCTCGTAACTTTGTAGTAGTTATAGAGTCACATAAAAAAAATCTGTAATCTTTAAGACCACAATTAAAATATCCTTCTAGGGTAACATTTAACGTAAGGTCTACTTAGTCTAGTGTACTTCCTGTTTTATGATAATACGCAAAATAAATGCGTTTAGTTTCAATTTGGTGAGAATTAGATCATCAGCATGTAGTCATTTCCCCAGTAACTATCTTCCTGTTCAAATACTAGAATTCTTGGAACTTTCTAATATGGCTGCACAGCCATTACATTCAGAGGAATCATAGCCTGTTTGATTTGTATAAAACCAAACAAACGTACATAACACAAATTCCGTGAATTATACTTCCTTGTTGTAACTTTCCATGAGAATTCATTCGCATCATTGTTGATACAATATAAAAACCGGACATTCTTAACCATCTTAATATCTAACAAGAGATCCCAGAGGGATGTAAATGTTCATGAACTGGTCTTCATTGAATGTACTCAATGATGGCACAAGATATTTTTATTAAGCACCTATTAGCAAATATCATTTGAAAAAGATCCCAAAGTATTATTAGATAGCAGTCAGTTACAGGTGGATAATGGACAATATGCTTGTGCTGTATTACTGTCGACATCCAAGATGGCTGCCTGTGGGCCACCTTGATTTCAAATCAGTCCAAAAAATGTACAATGCACAACTAGGGACCAAGGGAAACCAATATCTATGAAACATCAGAAGGATCCATCCAGTACTTCCTTAGATATAGCAGTAACAAGATTTTACTCTCAAAATCCAAGATGGCTGCCTGTCAGCCATCTTGATTTCGGATCAGTCAAAAAAAGGTATAATGCACAACTTGGAACCAAAGAGAACCTGCATATGAAATTTGAGAAAGATCCATCCAGTACTTTCCAAGAAATAGCAGTAACAAACTTTTACATTCAAAATCCAAGATGGCCACTTATCGGCCATCTTGAATTCGAATCAGTCCAAAAAAGGTACAATGCACAACTAGGGACCAAGGGGAAACTGCATATGAAATTTAAGATAGATCCATTCAGTACTTTCCAAGAAATAGCATCAACAAACTTTTAATTCCAAAATCCAAGATGGCTGCCTGTCGGCCATCTTGAATTCGAATCAGTCCAAAAAAGGTACAATGCACAACTAGGGACCAAGGGGAACCTGTATATAAAATTTGAGAAAGATCCATCCCGTACTTTCCAAGAAATAGCAGTAACAAACTTTTACTTCCAAAATCCAAGATGGCTGCCTGTCGGCCATCTTTAATTCGAATCAGTCCAAAAAAGGTACAATGCACAACTAGGGACAAAGGGGAAACTGCATATGAAATTTGAGAAAGATCCATTCAGTACTTTCTCAGAAATAGCGGTAACAAACTTTTACTTCCAAAATCTAAGATGGCCACCTCTCGGCCATCTTGAATTCGAATCAGTCCAAAAAAGGTACAATGCACAACTAGGGACCAAGGGGAACCTGCATATGAAATTTGAGAAAGATCCATCCCGTACTTTCCAAGAAATAGCAGTAACAAACTTTTACTTCCAAAATCCAAGATGGCTGCCTGTCGGCCATCTTGAATTCGAATCAGTCCAAAAAAGGTACAATGCACAACTAGGGACAAAGGGGAAACTGCATATGAAATTTGAGAAAGATCCATTCAGTACTTTCTCAGAAATAGCGGTAACAAACTTTTACTTCCAAAATCTAAGATGGCCACCTGTCGGCCATCTTGAATGCAAATCAGTTCAAAAAAGGTACAATGCACAACTAGGGACCAAGGGGAACCTGCATATGAAATTTGAGAAAGATCCATCCAGTACTTTTCCAGAAATAGCGGTAACAAGAATTGTTTACGGACGGACGGACGGACGGACCACAGACGGCAGGGCGATTTAAATACCCCACCATCTGATGATGGTGGGCTAAAAATAAGCTCGCTAGATTTGGATGTAGGCGATCCTTGTAGCAGCTGTTGACTAAAACACTGCACAATAACGGGAGGCCATGTCATCCTGAGCACTTAAGAGAATATAGGTTTGGCCTATGTAGCAACCTCAGTGAAGAGTGAGTTGTGTGGTTTGTTGTTAGTGAAGCTGTTTGTTGTTAGTGAAGCTAAGAAACGCCGACGGACTTATAAAGTCCCCCAAACCCCTTACCCCCTTCATTACCTCAATACACAAAATTAACTCGATTAGGCTATATCCATTTATAAGAGAATTCCAGTTTATGTTTTAGCTAATCTCTTTGTACGATCACCTATGGAAAATGTCTTAGACATGAATATAATATATGTTATGGTCAGTTCCATCCTCTATGTAATACACCTCAAGCCCATTCTCGGTCCCCCAGAATACTGTATTAAACACATGAAATAGACGGCAGTCCTGAAAAACAACTAGACACCATACATAGACAATATATTTATGTTACAAGATGGGGCATTTTGATCTAACTTTACACTCATTTTAGAACACGATAAAACTGAATAAAATTGAACAGGAGTAACCATTTTATTTTCAGCAATCAGTATCTCACAGTAGCATTAACAATCCACATCACTTATTCCTCTGTGCTTCCAAATCAAAAATTCACTCTGCCATATTCTCATACCTCACAGGTACTTTCATATTCTTGTTTTCCAAAACGTACATACAAATCTTAATCCAGACAAGCAATACCTCCCAGTAGTCCACTACTGACAAGATTATCATAATATCCATTCAAAAATATCCAGGGATCTAATTTTTGGGGTTTTTTTTGAAAATGGGAGAAACTTGTGAAAAAATATAGGTGATTTGAAAATAAAATAGTAAAGACAAAATCATGATTTCTATGAAAATGACATCCTCATTGATCAAAGTAAGGTCTGAAGAAGACAACAAGGTGGTTGTGGAACATAACCAGTGAGTAGATTTTTGAATGAGAGACGCTTTTTGGCAGTTCTTTAGCAGACATCTTTTATCTATTAAACATTTAGTAAAACTGCAAATATTTGACCTATTAAAAAAACGAAGAAAAGAAGCTGTAATTCTGTAACATAAAACCTAACAATTTCATTTATCTTACTGATGAAAATCAGATCTTATTCTTTTAATCAGAATTTCAGACAAATAAGAAAATAAATCTATGTAATGTTATCACTTTCACTTATAAAAAGGAAAAACAAAATTCAATGTACTCATATTCCTATAATATTTTCATTTCTCATTTTCAACACTAGTCATTCTCTCAAAACACAGACATGTAAACAAAAGATTCCATTCACAAAATGTCACTTCTTCTTATGACTCGATTCCTCTTGCTGGTGTGCGTAGGCCTCTCTGATACAACGAAAAGCTTTGAGGGAAGAATACGGTGTCTGTGTAATTGGGTCGAAGTACTTAGCTGGTTTTTTAGTCACAGGGCAATACTGCTTTACTGGCGGTTTATGTTTCTTCTGTGGAAAGTAGTCTTTGAAAATCCTTTCGTCTGTAAATGTTATAAATGTCCGCGAGCACTTTTCACCATTCACGAGATCATACTCCTCAACTTTCTTCTGGGGTTCAATACTGAAAGAAAATTTCCTTATGAAAAAATCACTCATATTCTCAATAATAATACATGACATGTTTGATGATTACGTACCAAAAGAAAGATGCATCAATAAAAATAGAAAAGAAGTTGGATCATCTACCCTTAATTGGAAGCCTGATTTGCATGGAAACCACAATCAATTCTGAACACATCATTAATTTAGGTATATCATTCACCTAGGTAAAGGATTACTTATCCTACATGTGGAGTTGTTAACTTAGTCCTGGATAGAATTATGTCAAATTCATACTGGATACAGAGTTAACTACCCTGAATATAGACTATTCTGTCATACTATGGCATCAGTTGCTCAAAGCTTGGTTAGAGCTAACCAGTGGTTGGAGAAAATTTACAAATATGAATTTTAAAAAGAATGGGAACATTCTTTATCATTTCACAGTTGTAGATTTGTAGAGACAGGTCAGATTGATATTTTTAGTGTCAGTTGTGCTTTGAAAGTCTTTTTTTTAACAGTGACAACAATTTGACTTTTTCACTAACCATTGTTTAACTCTAAGCTTTGAGGAACTTGGGCCTTTGAGAAGCTAGGGCCTGCAACTTATCAACTTAATCTATTCATGAACATTTTAAATCACAAATTTCAGCATTTAATCCCATATCAACATCACATCATTGATAATTTACAAACAGCAACCAAACAAAGTCCATCATCAATACTTACCTGTCAACATCCACGCTGATCTCCACATCACATGGCAACTCCTCGATCAGTGGCATGGTGAAGGACTGGTAACGGATCAGAGGACCACGATTTATCTGCTTAGAAACACGACTCTTCTTCTTTTCCATCTCCATGCGCTGGTAATTTTCTGTGAATAAATTGTTGTTAGATCACTATGAAAATACCATTCATCAATGTGTTTAACATAAGATCAACTGATTTCCAGCTTTCGTTTTGATATGCAATTAATTTTCAAAAATTGGGGAAGTGGGAGAGGGGAGGTCACTGTGTGTTTTTCATAGCTCATGATGCTCAAGAGAAATTAAATCTTTAACAATTTTCAATACCTAGAGACTTCAAGTTGAGTTCTTCAGTAATTTCTGCCTCAGCAAGTAGTTCCTCCTGGGTTAGCCTTCGCACCTCAGCAACCCTCTTCTGGGCTGCAATATCCTTCAACATTTTCTGCTTCATCTCGCGCACTTTTTCTCGTTCCTCCCGTGCACTTGATTTGATTGCTGTTGATTTTCGTAATGATTTTTTCTCTGACAAAAAAAATGATTTACAGTTCAAAATTAGCTTTCTGAAATTTTTATTTTTTCTCATTTTCACCTAAACTCTATATTCTATCTTTTACATCAATTTAAATGAATAATCTTTCCATATTTGAAAACCTTTTACAATGTACTTTTGAAATCGTCTTGCCTATTCTGCATGTACATTTCAATTTCAATGCAATATATAAAATCCTTTCCAACATTTAATGTATTTCGCAAGATCTATATCACCATTTGCAACAGTTCTATCAACTTTCATCAAATTTTCTCTCTTATAGTGAACAGTTCTAATACAGTCCAAACACCTACCAAGAGGTGTATGATAAATTTGTACTGATGATGTAGTCTTTTTCTTTTTCTCTTTCTTCTCTTTAGGTTTCTTCTCCTCAGGTTTAGGCTTTTTGATAGGTTCCTTAAAGATAAATATACAATGCTAGTTATACAGTTAAGTCAAATTAACAATGCCACAAAGAGAGGTTGAGATGTTAACATTTTGAATACTGCATAAGTGTAAATAATTAAATAACACACTAACCATTTAACTTTGAATGTTCATGAACTATTGAACTATTTCCATAGTCTTAATTTTCCTTTCAATAAGATTCAAATCTCAGTGATATTGAGTTGATGAAATGTTATGGTCATTTTTTGCTTGAGAATGCCAAATGAAAAGCAGAGAAACAGTAAGCATGAGGGTAAACTGTGAAATGTAAACTGCAAGCCATGAAAAGAAGTTATGACTTAATTTTCTTCTGAAACAGGAAGTCAGTGATAAAATAACTGAATCTTGTACACTTGACAAGATATTGAAAAAATCAGAGTTTGGAAATTTATTCAAAGTTACAGACAAAGTTACAGAATTCTGTAACAATTAGCCTGTAACCACGTCTGGCAGAAAGGTATCTTCATAACTTCAACTCTTATTGACCTTGTATGCTTTTGTTGACACTCCTTTACGTTTTTTAGGGGCATCATCATCATCCACATCACTTCGGACCTCATCATTTTCATCAATGCTGAAGTCAGAATCAATTTGATCTGATTCAGAGTCTTCAGAATTATAAACTTGATCACCCTCTTCCTGAAATAAAGAAGTCAATGTTATACATTAAACATAAGACTGCAGTTTGGATATCAAAATGGTATGCACATCCAGATGAAAAGCGTAGAGAAAAAATAAACAAAATCACATGATTACCTAGAAAGTAGTGTTATCCATTCTCAATTTCAACCAAATGCTTTTAAGGGCTATGCCAGACAAAACAGTAAGATCATGGAAAAATTCAGGGAAGGTGGGAAGACAAACTTTATCATAGCAAATAATTTTATATTGTTTCCAAAGGAGAAAAATCTTGAGTTAAACAATGTTTCTTAAAAATTCTTCTGAAAATCGCCTTCCAAAATTTTGGGTAGGCACAAAATTCCTGATAGGGTAGGGTTACCAAAAACATGCAATTTGGTTTATTGTTTGGTCTAATATTAAAGCCATGTCAAATATTTCTACTATCAATAGTAATGACACAGACCAATAAACTTGGTCTAAGTTTAAGATATAATGGCTTAAAACATAATTTAACTTACTATAATCCCAGTTAAAAACATTATACATGTACTTAAACTTGAATGATATTCTAAGTGTTTGTAAGTGCTGAAGACTGAAATAAAATTAGAAATCACAAACAAGTTGAATGAACAAATTCTATTACTTTAACTTGTACTTAGATACCAAATTTTAGATGTCAAATTAAATTTTCACTAAGATAAATTGCAATGATTGAAATAAACGTTACATGTCTGTGTAGTTTAAAGAAGTCAAAACTTCTTTTGCATACTGTTTGCTGGGTTTATCAACCCATGAAAAGCCAGTGCCTTTCTGAGACAGAGTCTCCCAGTAGTGTGTGTAACTGGTGTCTACCTCACTGAACCACTTACGACAAGACTTTAGTTACCATTCGAAGGAGTGTAGTAGTATAACTTCTTACAACTTCTGATTATTTCCAAAACTGTTTAAAAATGGAGGAAGCATACAAGGATGAAAACTGTAATGACAAAACATTACAACTAAGGTAAAGTGATCTTTCAGTGGGCTTATTATAGTTGGATTGTGCAGTTTTAGTAACTTAGTTAATATATCACCTCATCGAAGCCACCATAAGTTGTCTTATAGAAATCATCCTCTTCTTCAGCTTCCAACATGCGTCCCATTTTATTGCCAGCATTGGCACGCCTCTCCCTTGTGGCTGCCATCTAATCAACACCACAAAAGAAACATACTTTATTTGAAACATGAAATTAAAAAAAATTTAAACAATAACACAGCATCAATTGCAAATGACCAGGTTCATAAGACTGTAACATCATGATGTTTAACTGGCTCTGATTTTGGGTGCTGAAATTTTGAACAGATTAATCTTATGAATTATTTGTCATCTGCACATCACATAATAAGAAAAATATCTGCATTCCCTAGACATGTTTTCATAGCCATTGAAAATTGATTGAAAGGATAGCATTCAACCAAATATGGCAATTCAAAAAAGAAAGTCACATGTCACATGCATATGATTAAATACTAATGTGACTTGAAGCAACGAAGACCCTGTTTTAATAACAAAAAATTCTTCAGTCGTTAAAAACCAATGTAAATCTAAAACAGGACATGACATCCTGTGATTGCAGAAGAATCATGCACTCTGAACAACTCGTCCTCTCAACTGAAAGGATTAATAATAATAAATTTATTCAGGATAAATATGTACAGATTTGTATACAAAACATATAAATATAACATGTTATACATAATCAGGAATAAGTTGTTAGCTATAGCTTTAATGTATCAGCTAGTTATAATTATTAATAAAGACAAAAGTATATATATCCTAGGATTTCCCAAAAAAGTGTTAAAACGCTTATTTCCATTGGGGTCCTTAAAATGGATTTACAAATGTATTTCCCTCAATAATATACATAATAACTATCATGATTATCTTGCATTTTGTTTCGAAAGTGACGTTTCACTTGGGTTTTGAACTTAAGCTTGTTTGATATACTTTGATATACTAAGTTTGCAGCCTTTTCATGGAAAACATTAAACATATGATTCAGTCTGATTTGACTATAATTCATGTCTAACATGTTTGTACACAAAAAATCACTTCATCTTATACTGTGCCTATTTTGAACATTCAAAATAAATCTTATTACTTTGTTTTGTGCTACCTGTAATTTATATTTTAGTTTTTTTGACAACCCTTCATACCAACCAGCACAAGCATAGTTGGAATGACAAAGAATCAATACCGAGCAAAGAGTTTTTCTCGTCCTATACGATAGACATTTCTCATTTTCGTAGACACATTCAAGTCGCTGATGTACTTTTTTTTGTATTTGGAAGGAAAATACAGAGATTAGTTTCAGTAAATGCTTACCTTATCTTTATATTTTACCGACGGACAAAACTGATATAAATGACTAAATAATGGCGCGACTTTATCGAATATCTGTCGGTGTTATACGCCCAAGGAGTTTTTCCAGAAGTGCACGCGTACTTTAAACAAATCCTTGGAATACAGTGCTACTAATTAGTGATAAAGCTTTCTTCTTCATTCAGATTTTGAGTCATTTTGTTGTCAACTGTAACATAACAGCACGGGCACAAGGATGGCCATTTCGCTTGATCAAAAATTACCTCCAAACACTAAAGAATTATATTAAGAAAATACGAGTTATCTCGCTTAGGTTATAGTTAGCTTCGTTTTATAGTCGCCCAGCGCTCGAGTTGGCTACTTGTGAAAACGTAATGTTTTAAGTATGCATCTATCATTCTCGCGTAAAGGTGTTCAGTCAGCCCAAAGTGTCATATGAAATCCCTTGTTCACTTTTCAATATCAATGACAGGACTGAAATGCTTTACCACCAGACAATGAAGAGATCAACAACCTTGGAGTCTGCTGTGGTTACATTTCAGTTAGCCTTGAGAAGTTTTATCCGCTTTTAACAAACATTAATCCATAAAGGTGGATCAAAATTTGGCCCCATTCCGATTTCATTTATTTTTTCGACATATTTACATACATTATAATAAACCCATACTGCATAAATTATTAGTCATTAATTGCTACTGACGTTATGGACCTCCTTGCATAACACCAGGTTGTGTGACGGGGTTTAACAAAATGACTGATAATCGCCATAGGTGAGTGTAATTTTTAAAAGAATTATGACAGTGTATAGTGTATAAGATAACTTGACACTAAATTTTTCATTATTATTATACATCAGATGAACGTTTTAACACTTTCAATAAGAACAAAAAACATGCAAAATTCATCAAACCGAAAAAAAAAAAGTTTTTTTTTTTATATTCAACATTATGTGGGCCTAATAGTTGCAATTACAATCTATAGTTTATATTTCTTTATAAACTTTCCACATATAGAAGATATGCTGTCTATAGAATCAATTTAATGTGTCTAAGCCGATAAAATACTTTTTAGCACGCCAAGCATCTCCAGCAATATACAAATTCCAAATATCATGAAGATTTCTTGTTACAATTCACCTACTCCGTACCCGTTGGAAATGAGTTCATATGTCGTAGTTGCAAAACTAGATTGAAAGATTTAACTCAAGGGTCCAGAGCTCAAATACTACATGTATATTTATCCTAGGATTACTAGCTACAGCAGATACTGAGTTCTGAGAATGTCAGTATATCGGAGAATATGGAAAAGCACTACCTCAAACTAAGACTATTGCAATCAATGTTTTGTAAACCCAGTAGTTACCACTCAAGATGATCATGTTGACTACGCTTACAAAGACTACATGTCAACCAACCAGCTACCACAATTCTCTGGTGAGAGTTTATTCCATGGAGGAAATTATCATAAAAATAACAATAAAGATTGTTTTATTCTCATAAACAGCAAAGTTTAGAATATACATAAAAACAAACTGTTGACAATACATGGTTGGCCAGGATGGTATTGTGAATTAATTACATGGAAAAGGGAGTCCTGGGTTATGCAACATGCCTCGGTGTGCCAGAATAAACACAATATTTTCCGTTTCCAGTAGAGTTCACCTGATGCTCTTGTTTACAGTGAACATACAATTGGTTATTTACTGAACCTCTCATTGACAATCGACTTGCAGACGATGGACATACAATTGGTTATTTACTGAACCTCTCATTGACAATCGACCTGAAGACGAAGGACATACCCGGGGGACATACAATTGGTGACTTACTGAACCTCTCATCGACTTGCAGACGAGGGACATACAATTGGTTATTTACTGGACCTCTCATTGACAATCGACCTGAAGACGGACATACAATTGGTGACTTACGGAAGCTCTCATTGACAATCCACCTGCAGACGAGGGACATACAAATGGATAATTACTGGACCTCTCATTGACAATCGACCTGCAGACGAGGGGATCATCTGAGCTTCATCTCAAACAGAGTTGGTTTGGTGATAAACGAATTCATTGAACAGAGTCATTTTCTATCTTCAGGTAACCCTACCAATGGTGGCAATGTGATTGTTGACCGGGTGACCTCATGATATACTTATTGCCAAAGGCGACCGCGATGATGAATCCCGACTTTTCTAGACGTAACAGGGTCAACTGGGTGAAACTCGACTCCTCGCCAATCGAGATCCGTGTACGTGATATTGATTGTCTAGCGACAGTAACATGTGGATTATATCAGCTAAAAGAAGCGTCATGGAACGGTGCAAAGTAAGACACTGGGTGGGGACTTGGAAGTGTGCTGGTCTATCAATATGCCGAGAACCTCATCCGTGGTCAAATTGAAGACAAAAATCACAGACAATACATAATATTTGGACAGCATTTGACAGAAATGACCGAGAAGAGATTACCTTTTGAAACATTTTAACGTGTGTTGGGATGCGTGTACCTGTTGCAAGTCAGCTGCCTACTAGCCAATGCGACACTCACATTCAATTAAGCAATCAAGAAAACATTCGAGTTGTTTTTACTCGAATCAAGCTGTATGTAAAGTTATTTTCGCAATTCAATGTATCAAGTGCTGCAATTGCACAAACACTATTTGACTTCACGGAAATGTCACAATAACTGAATCTACAAAAAGCTAAGCAAGACACTTAAGTCACTTCAATGATTTCATTGATCTTCATTACAAGATTTATATAAATCTGCTAAATCTTTTAAATTCAACCCTAAAACAGATTTTGAAATATTTTAACAAATTTCATGCACGAGACCTTGAACAAAGATCAAGGTTGACCAATGTTAACCAAACTAATATCCATTCACACGAACAGCCTACTTGACAAATATCAAGACCAAGGATTAAAGGAAAAATGGGAAGGAAACTGTGCTTTTCATTTGTTTGAAGCAATGATATAAAATAATTTACAAGGTGTTATTTTTTCATAAATTTCATGTTAGTTATTCAACTTTTATTTTATGCAGGTATGGAAACAAACTGGTTTTAGAACTATGTAAATAAGATGGCAGAAATTAAAATTTTCTCATTAGTAATGGAGTTTTTACATGCTTTTCTTCTTAAATCCTCAGCGAAAAGAAAAAAATCTTTCTTGAAATGGAGAAACATTTGGTTTCAGAATAATAGTTGGAATACAGTGCACGCAATAATGATACATTTCTAAGCAACTCATTTACTGCTCAAAGAAGGACTTGTATTACAGCATCTTTAAAACCCACACAGGTGTTAGTTAATGAGGCCCCATTTTCAGAGTGAATTATGAAATTCAGTCTTCCTGATTGAAGCATCTTGGTATCAACCATTGTGTGAAATTTATCTTTAAGCTAGACTTTGGCCTCCTTTCCTCTCAACTGTATGAAATTTGAGAATACCTCAAGATACAAGTTAAAATCAAAATGGCCACATGTCTGCTATTTAGTTTTCTTATCAGTCCGAAAATCAAAGAGGTAGAACTTGGGATCAAAAGTACCTTCATATGAAATTTAAGAAAGACACTTCCCTACTTCTCCAGAAACAGCTAAAACTCCTATAACATCATAATTCGATATGGCCACCTTGCAGCATTACCAGCACTTCTCCAGAAATAAAAACAAAATGCAGTCAAAATCCAAAAGAGTCTTCTACCTGACATCTTGTGTTTTGATCAATTCCAAAAGCAAAAGATCACAACTAAACAAGAGACCAGAAAGACCTGCTAATTGTTTAAGGTGGACTAAAGACAGACTGGAGGTTCAAATAGCCCTCCATCTGATGATGGTGGGCTAATAAGGGCAGGTAATCTCAAATATCAAAATATTATACCTTCATCTACAGTAAGGTAACAAATAACAAAACTGTCTTTTTATGTTTTTGACCATTTTATTGAGTATGTTTAAATGGTCATTGCTGTCTGTATATATTATCCCATCTATGCATCAGCAATGGTCACTTCCACCTCAACACCTGGCTCGATACTGATGGAGGTCTGAAATTGGTGGTTAAGGATAATAAAGACCTAAAGTAAACACTGGCTATTTCGTCAGAAACATGATTACACGATATAATTAGATGTCTTTTCAGCAGATAATCTTCATAATATGAGGTAAGAGAAATCAAAGTACAGTGGACCTTCTTTAAACCAACCATGCATGGTGCATGAACATTTAGCTATAGTAAGGTGGGGCTCAGTTTGTAAAAGTGAACCAAATTTCCAGAAGTGAACCAATTTTACCGGTCCAGACTTGCATAAAATTGAACCACTTCTGTTCTGTACATTACATTAATAAACACTTTTTATTCAGCATTTTTACTGCAAATGATCACATAAAGACAGAACAACTTTAAACAGTACCAAAGATTTCTGTAAAGTGAAAAAATTGATACTTGTATAAAATATGTGGTATTCGAAAAGAAATCTATGCACATTGCCCTGTGATCTCAAAATACGGCCTGACCTAGCCCCATTTGGATGATCTGCTAATCTGAAAATCTGAGAGCGTTTTCAATCAATACATTTGATGAATAGATGTTTTTGTTGATCAGTAAAGAAAGTATCTTATAAAACAACACTTCACTGATGTTTCTATTTTGTGTGTGTTAAAATGACATTCCATTACAATTTAAAATGCTAAACTACAGCTTTCTTATTGCATTAGTATTGATTGTACTCTGTCTGTAGGCATTCATAGCTTCGCTGAAACAATCAATGGATTTGTTCAATATATTTAAATTTTGCCATTGGAGATAACTCTATATTTCATTTGTTATAATCCTCCTGTTCAGGCAAGTATTGTGTATAAAGCCTACAAATGCAGGTAAATGCCAGGGTGTAAAACTTAAGCTGTCAACAGAGGTATTTGTTTTACAGTTCGCTGGTAGAACTCTGTAATTGCTTGCATAAGGCCTGTTCTTAAAAGTAATTTTCAGTATGCTTCAATTTCAGACACAAAATTGTTACAGTATTCAGAATTCAGACAGATCTGTATTCGGAGGTTTATTACTATAATAAAGATGATATTATATACATCACCATTCTGTCCACTTTCAAGAGGTGATTAGTTTTGAGAAGGATTGGTTTGGGGAAGTTGCATTGTATGAGAAATACTGACAACATTTGCAGCAAAAAACAAATCAAAGGGAGTGCAAAGTTTCAGAAAGAAAACTGATCATTATCTTAAATTTTTAAAAAAAGTCATTAAAATTCTAATTGTTGTTTTGTAAAAAAAAAAGACCAAGTGTTAATATTCTGAATTAAGGATACAATCTGCTTGACGATCTCAGATGGACTGTGGAGATCAATCAGACGTTTGTGGATACGCATCTGGTAACGATCCCAGGTTTTGGAACCCTCACCACATGGGGTTTTCCTGGTGGTGATTCGCAAGACCTTGGTGGGCATACGGACTGGCCCCTTGACCTTCAATTGTTTGTCCTTAGCTCCCTTGATAAGGTCAGCACAGACTGCAAACAAAAAACACATAATGCATCAAATGTTCTACTGACATGTCTGCCGTCTCCGGGAAAGTGGCACATTTGTCTGTCATCATCCTGCATTCTCGTATTTTAAGTAATTGTTTACAAGACTTAAAACGGTTCAGAACCTGCCACATATCAAACTAGTGAACAATTTTAATGCACTCACATTCTGTTTTATGAATTAAAATTCAACATAACAACTTGCAAAAATGGAGATAATGTTCTCCCATAATCGATTATTAGACTATCACTGATCGGCTGTAATTATATGATGATCAATTATAAAATTACAACTGATAACCAACACTATTTAACAATAGTTTATTCTGTTTCCAAGGCCGAGGTTTTTTTTTTAAGATCATAGAGAGTGTATCAACAGTTTGATAGATACATTTCTTTTTGTATATTGCATGAAATCAGCTAGTAGTACGAGAATTAGGCTTCAAATTTCTGCAAAACCAACAATCCCTTATTTTTTTCCATGCTTTTAAATTTAGCGTCTTTTGCACTGAAATATACACACACACACACTGTGTTTTGTCTGTCCACTTAAAATGTGTACATAAAGTCTAAATATAAATCCCCCGATAAATAAATATACCAGAATTGCTTTTAGTTGTTACAATTGTGAAAGGATTAAACAAAAGTAACACATGAAAACTGCTAATACCGAGTGCAACAATGTTACCTTTTTCCAGACTTTGGACATTCCTGCTGGTCAGTGTAATTCTGATCCTGTGAATTGGGGCTTCTTCAGCGGGAGCTTTAGAATCTTTAAGAGACTGGAAAAATTAAACCGAAAACATTTTAGCAACCTTAGAATAAAAAATTTTGCAATTCATACTGATGAATGTTTCCTGTTGGTCTTCATCATGTAGTGAAAAATCATATACTCTACTTATCACAGTTGTTCACATCTTTGTTACAATGCATATATTTTCTTCTCATCAAGAAAATCTAAGTGTTCAATTTAGTTCAATATTTGCCTTTTACCAAATGTTAAAGCAATCATTTTATTCTATGTGTTCCATCTAAAAATACTCTGGTTTTGATGGACAAAACAAGACTTCACGTCACACTAATGAGGTATATGGGACAACTTATTTAGTTTTGCATAATATGAAAAGCAACCAAATCTATATAGCTGCTATAGAACCAACTGATGTACAACTTCAATAGTCTGAGTGAGTGTGAAAATGTATACCAATGGCTACTAAGATGTTATATTGCGAGTCAAGTTTTGTCGTTCAAATGGAATGGATACTAGGAATGTGTCATCCTTGATACTCTTGGGGTTATCACTTTTGCTCTCTACACCCCTGGAACATGTCATGACAAAAAGTAATTTGATTGATCTAGAGCACTGACCAATCACAAGCTTACATGCTTCAACTTTGCCATGAAATGTTCCTAGAGTGCAGAGAGCAAAAGTGAGTTTAACAACTGAGTATTGAGGAAGAGAAGTTGTGAGGTTCCAAATCAACAACCTCTAGTTATCAAGTTTAAGTTAATGCGATAGACTTGTGTGCATTTTCTTCTATCAACTGAAAGGTTCTAGATGGCATGCCGATTTTTTTTTTTTTACAAACACCTGTAACCAGTTGCTTTTCTTCTGCAATATTACCAAAGCTTACAAGGAGATTTCAGATGATTATAATGTCATTCAGTATTTTCGAAAAAATACTGAAACCGCTATATTTTAGAACTGGTTTTGGGAGTTTAATATTTAGTCTATGTGACAGAGGTCATCTTTTTCATTTCAAAGCTACCAAAATGGAATGATCCTGGAACCCCTGACTTGACAGCCAATTGAGTTCTCCCGTGGCTACATATGCTCCATATTAATGGGAGACTCTTGCCAGTGTGAAACACTTCCCCTTCCAGAAACAAAATGTAATTCCCCTATCCTAATAGATCACTTTCCTGCCAGGGCTAGAACCTGGGACACCATACATGCTAATTGATCTGAGTTAGGGAGCTTTATCTAGTACTTTGTCATAATTACCAGTGTTAACAATATCACGCATCAGTGCGCTGCGTTTGAACTAAAAACTGTAGACCTTGCAGAGCGAATATTCTCTTTGCTAGAGTCGTTTTATGCCAAGTGCAAACTCGCGAGCATGCTTCTCATTTGTAATAATCCAAAGGGTGGCGACTATCACTAATTTAAGTTTTGTCTTGTTCATAACCTAAGACCTGAAGTCAGAACCGTACTTCCAGTGACCACGTGTTTATTTTTGAGTAAAGAATTTCTCAGATTCTGTAAAAGTTCCGAGCCTGATTTTAAATCAAACTGAACAACTGACAGACAATGTTTAGAAATTACTAAATTTATATACCATTTTGCCGACGTAATCAGAGGATTGACGATTTTAAAACTCTGAACAGCGGTGAGCAATATGTCTTATGATGGTTCCGGTATGAAAGAGACCGGAAACGGTGTGGAACATAGTTTCTAACTTTCTGGAGGGGTAGCAGGCTTTTCTTTTAATATAAACTTATTCGTATGTCATTATCTTATTATCCAAAATTTTATTGTACGGACTCCAAATAAGATACTAAAATAAAAATTATGATTTGACATCATGGGAAGAGAAATCGTGTAGAAAGGTACAAATTTCGTTACTTTGTTATTATCTCAATACACCTTCAATGGACTGCTCTAAAATAAATCACTTCCTCAACTTCAGCACCAAAAGTATTAAATAAAGTTTTTGGTTCATATCAATGATTATTTGTAAAGAAAAATGTCTAATATTTATTGAAAGCTATATGCCTTGCTAATTAATATTTTAGTAGCGTTTGATTTTATTTCAATGTCGCCGGTAGAACTTCCACGTTTGTATCAAGATGGCGACTATGGTGAGTGTCCACAGCAAAACTATCAGACCGAAATTATTTAATAGCTGAATCAATTTGTGCGCCAGCATCTGCAAATACATTGATTCAGATTACTTTACAGTCTTTTCAATTCCAAACATTTTTGTTTTTCTGGCAATTTATGAATTAGTTTACTGATATCATGTTTATAACGACTGAATTTGTACAGAATCGGACATGTCAGTCCGCCTTTGACAGCTTATGACAGAAGTTAACACAAATAAGATATCTTAGCCTATCGCTATCGATATCTCTGATTTCTCATTTTTGTTTTGGGGTAGTGGTTTACACTTTTCAGAAGATGAGCCCTTCCATTAAATTTTCAATATTTGAAATTGGTTTACACATTTATTATGTCTCCTTTTCTTGATTGTATCTGTGAAACATTATTGCAAACATATCGATATATATGGAGAATACATGGTCAGTGTCTTAAAATATAAGCTGTATTTTGGCGAGGGCGAAGAAAGACAGAAGTGGCAAGCCACGATACAGATTATATTTTAAGTCACTGACCATGTATTCTATCTATCCGGCAACATTGATTGAAAAATCAGGCTATTGAAACTTAACCTGTTTTGTTGTTCAGTTTGTGTTTACCTGACATTAACGTTACACTGAATTTTGCCTGATGACGGGCGCCAAAGTAATTGCTCTGCAAGGAAATAAAGTTTCAAACTTCACTGGATATAATAGCAATTTTATAAATTTTCATATATCAACAAGACAACATGTTCTTTACAACATGTAATATCACTTGTTCAAAAAAATAATTATATTTGTAAATGTAATGTTTAAATAAATTCAGAAAGTAATTCTGTCAAATTACCACATGTGATAAAATACAGCTGTTTTCTGTCACTGCCAAATACAGAAAAATATAGGTGGCGAGTGTATTCCGATAATGGCAGTGCCAGTTGGAAGATAAAATTACATAAGGGGTCATTGGCTCATGTTGAAGGGGAGAGGTTGTATTCATAAATATGGGGTAATGTTTTTTTACTTCGATAAAGCATATCACACTGATCACATCTTAAATATTCAATCAATATTAGCACATATTAAATCAGTGTGTATTATAAGGAGAAAAAATCTGAGCAGTACAATATAGATAAGACAAAATTTTGAGATTTCCAGTTCAATGTAATAACTGAAGTGAAGTACTAAACAACAATCTTAATCACAAGCATGTTATTAGTTTCAACTGACACTTGATTTTTTTAATAGACTATAGTTGGTAAATCTGGTTCTGCTTAATTTATGGAACATGTGATGAGATTAACCTAGACAAACTTTACTACCAGAAAAGGATAATGTTCCCCATCAAGAAAACATGGGGAAATTTTTACCAAATAAAAAAGATTTCCCCAGAAACAGAGATAATTAATGCAACATATTCTAGATTAGCCCATGATGTGTAGTGTGTTTGAAATACTGTAAGGGTAAATTACCAGACATAGAAAGAAATATATCATTTCTTGCTTTATCATATCAAAAGCTTTGGATATTATTCCCAGAAGAAATATATTTTTACAAGACATGTACATCAGGTCAGGTGATCATATAGTTTGGAATAAACTGAAGGTGTAACTAACCTTATAGTGGGAAGTTGGCAATCATCATTATATAGCAAATGAAATAAATAATATGTAGACAAAATCGGTACGTTTGCTTGAAAATGACAATTCAACAAGATATACCAGTAAGCAAAAATGTCATCTGTCAGGGATTTATGCCAGGTTTTTGTATGATGCAGTAATTATATAATGGGCTTATTTTCTGACCCCAAAAAATTGTTATTTCCCAAATTCAATCTTGATTATCAAAGTCTGTATCAACATGAAAAGATTGCAAGATTCTTTTAAAGATTTTAAAAGAGTGCAGTTGATATGTAATAATCTGGTTGTCCAAACTTTTGTGGAATGTTTAATTCAATTAGCACAAAACCACATAACATTGGAGACAATTACAGTATTTTGTAATTTTGTCAATTTAAAAAACGAGAAATGTCACATATGCAATTTTCCGTAATTGTAGTAAGTAAAACAATGTTTTTTTTCCAGTTTTAGTGCAGGGTCCTATTCCCAAAATATCTAGCAAATTTCATAATGCTGAAATTCCTGGCTGCAGTTGGTGTACTGACATCTTCAATTGATAAATAAAGTGTCATTCTCATGTTTTTGTTAAAGGTTAATTTAAAGTACACCCATTGTATCAATATATGGAAAGGGATGTTAAGATGTTCATGAAATGGACAATGATGTCAAACTAATAGGTGCACTTTTAATATGATAAAATCACACCATAGTTTCTTTTCAAATATGTTACATTTTTGAGAAAAAAAATCTTTAAAGTGCGAAATCACCTTGTCAAAAAAAAAGAAAAGAAATTGTGATATCGATGGAACTCTTAAGAGTTTCTGGAAATACTTAAATTTTTCATTGTGGAACCCATTGTTTTTCGCAATAAAATTGAAAAGGACTCATCAAAATAAATTGTGGATTGATCACTGGACTCTGTGGCTGAGGACCAACCAACATGATATGAAATTTTTTCTCCATTTAAAGAAATAAAGCACTTTTTTTGTTTCCATTTCAGAAAATGAAGCACTTGAGTAATTTTGCTCTACTATTGATGTTAGCTGTAGGAATTTGCAATGGTTTCTATGTCCCTGGTGTGGCTCCAGTGGAATTTGACTATTCTGAATTGGTTGAAGTCAAGGTAATGTATCTTTTACACTTAATACATTATCAAAGCATTAATTGATCCAAGCACATACTTGAAACATGAATTGATCATTATACAGAGAGATAGAAATTTAATGACCAATTTAAAAGTTTATAAAACAGATTGCTGGTGTGAAGATGTGTTTTCTGTAACAGAAGGCCAAAAAAGATGAATATAGAAGTAGATATTAAGATCCTCTGCATTACAAAGAAAAAAATAGCCATAAAATGATGGAAATTTGATAATTATTTTTTGAAAGTTTTGATTTCTCTTACTAGTAATCAAATAATTGACAATTCTCTGGTGTTCCAAAAAACACAAGAATTTTTAAAATTAAGTAATTCATTATAAGAATTGTGTCGAGATATATGTTGGTAATTCTTTGTATCTATAACAGGCTGTCAAAATGACCAGTGTGAAGACACAGCTGCCATATGAATACTACTCTCTACCATTTTGTGAGCCTAAAGAGGGTATAAAGTACAAGATAGAAAATCTAGGTAATTAAAGTAGGGCATTTCTTGTTTAAATTTTTTTTTCAGAAAAAATATGTCATAGAAGATATCTCAAATGGACAAATTGGATCATAAGTAATAGATTTTTAGTAAATTATTGAATATAAGATATATGAAGATAGAAGTTTTAAGATGTTAAGATAGAAATTGTAAGACGTGAAGAACTTTCTTAGATTTAACTTGAGAACCTTTGTACTGTCCGGGGCAGGGATCTGAACTTATATTATTTTAGTGTTTATGACGAATAGAACCTTAAATTTATTATTTCATTTGAGACACTGGACAAATTTCAACTGGAACTTTGTAAATGTCATTTGCAAATTTTCTTCTTAATGAAGACATATCATTAAGATTAAAGAAAGTATGAATTCTTAATTCTGGTTGTATAATAGAGTAAAACAGTATTCAACAGAAATAAACATTGTGCTCATGAAGGATGCATAATGGAATAACCTGTATAGAGCACTGTCTTAATTACTGAGTTTCATTTCCAGGTGAAGTGCTGAGAGGAGACAGGATTGTCAACACTCCATATGTGGTAAGGCTAGCATCAGGATAACACAAATTCATCAACATATAAACATTTGATGTAGAGGAGATGCAAATTCAACATCCTTGCAAGGATCTGTTTAAAAATTCACATATAAACTGGAAATGAATTTAAAATCCTTGTAATGACAATATCTATCATCTAACATATATGACGGAAAAGTTTCTTATCTGTATTAAACTTTAAGTTATCACTTTCTTTTATCTATTGTCTACATTTTGATGTCACAATGTAATCTGCATATGTATGATGTCCTAACCTCATCTAATCCTGTCATCAAAATGAACAGGTCATGCCACCTGATTTCATTAGCAAAATTGTTTACATGACTATATTCTCTGTATAAAAATAGTTAGGTAATCAAATGAAAATATTTATCTTCTGTTTATTTTTTATGCTTCCGCCATTTATGGCCGGGGGCATATAGCGTTGCCCATGTCCGTCCCGTCGCGTCCCGTCGCGTCCTGTCCCGTCCTGTCCCGTCCCAAATCAGTATATACCACCTAACAACTTCATTCGGAAGGCAATTTTCATGAAACTTCATATAAATATCAAGTATGGAAAGATCTCATGTGGTGTTGAATTTCTCGGCATTCTAAAAAGAAGATGGCCACCAGGGGGAGATAACTCAAAAAAGAGGAACATCATCTTATTTCTACATAATTTGGTACTTGTGGGTTTTAAGGCATAAGGAACTAATATACTCCCTCATTTTTTCCAGAGAACAAAATTCCAAATTCATTTATGTTAAATCAACTTGTTAATTTAAGTATGAAACTTAAGTTGCACATAGTTGCATACAAATTAACAAAATCATCTCTTTCGGACCTTTCACTATTATTTCACATGGGGGGGCGGGGGCATTCGTGTCTTACAGACATTTTCTAGTTTATGTATTTCATGAACTGTTTAAAGAACTTAATGAGTAGTCACTTCATTTAAGGCAACATGGATTGTTTAGGAAATCAGTTGATATATTAATAGGTAGTTATAGGCATAGATAAAAAAAAATCCTTTAGGTCAACAATGGTCAATGAAAAATGTTACTTTCTTGTCCGTCGAAAGGCTGCAATAATAGATGTAAACCCATTAGATAAATAATAATAAATGAATAGGAAATGTTACCCTGCATCATACATATCTTTTAGATATGAGTCATTCCTTCTGATTAATGATCATGATATTACTGTTAGATTTTCAGATTTATTGATATTAACTAACATACAGTGCTCCAGATAACTTTTTGACATGTGGGGTTTTCACTCCTACCTTTATAAATTGAGGGGTTTTTTCACCCCTGCCTTCATCAAGTGTATGGGTTTTTCCATATTAGGGTAACACTGAATTTGTAAACATTTTTGACAGCGCCATATTTGCTATGCGACTGGTTTATAATCACGGTCAAGAAAGCGCTTGTTACGAGTTTCGTTTACTTGATAAGTGTCTGTTTGACTTAGATTATTGAGTTTTCTAACTACGTAATATTGGAGCCGGACATTGACGCAGAGTTCGGATTTCGCACGGGTTAATGACGCAAATCTTATTTTTTTCCTAGCGTGAAATTAGAAATATTGTGCGTGAAAACGCATTCACGCAGGCTATCTGGAGCGCTGAACATACTGTCTCTCATTAAAGATCAGTACTGCATTGGATATGTTAGAAATTTGTTATGGTAATTGATACTATTTTCTATCATTGTTAGGTAAATATGGCAAACAATAAGGATTGTACTCAGCTATGCTCTGTCAAACTGAAAAAGGAACAGTCCAAGAAGCTTGTGGAGAGGATCAGGCACTCCTACTACGTTCACTTGTGAGTTGCATATATAATTGTATTTGTTTGGTAATTTGGGAGATTGAGTATTTGCTGGGATTATCTCTGCAACCAAGGTCCTTTTGGGGGCAGGGTATCCCATCCTCCATACTCATGGTGTTACGCTCACTATCATTCTCTGCACCCACGGGACATTTCCTGGCAAAATTTAAGGCACCAAAATAAAAGAAATTGGACTGATCTAGAATGGGTTTCAGGGGAAAAAAAACTGACCAAACACAGACTGATGCTCCTTTGAAGACTACAACCCAACTTCAATGCAACTCAAGATTCGTTTGATGTACATCAAAGGATCAAACTAGGTCGTCTCGTCTTATCCAGAAAGTGTTGCTTATGGAACCTTCAACTTTTTCATGAAATGTTCTGGGTTGCAAAGAGTGAAAGTGATCGTAATCCTTGGAATGTCAAGGACGAGGGTCTCCTTGTACTAGCTGGTGGTTACATCACAAAACAACAGGTCAAAGGCCTGCCTGATACCCCCAGAGCATCTAGTCAGATCAATTCAAACTCCTTGAATGAGCACCGGAGGTTACGAAGTCTGATGTTTTTCTAACTGAGCTATCACATTCCTGATGATTTGAAAGGGATAGAAAATTGTGGTGCCATATTTGATGATTATCAAAATATTCAAACAGTCATGGATATCACTAGTCTTTCATGTTCTTATTTTAGATAGGATTAAGCATGTTGTGCCTTGAACACTTATCAACAAAGATAATTGCTTTCAGAATTGTGGACAACTTGCCATGCGCTACCAAATTTGAGATGCTGGAAACTGGTGAACCTCAATACGAACATGGTTACAAGCTTGGATTTCTCAAAGACAATGTGGTAAGTATACGTAAATAACTCTGAAGTGGCTGGGATTATCATGATGTACATGTATGGATCCTTCAGTAAGCCCAGGGAATAGACAGATGATCTCTTAGTTCAACTTAATAGATGCATAAGCGTATTGCAAGATTGATAAAAGGGCTTGATTGTAGATTTACTAAAAGAGCAATAGATGTGGTAGGTATATTTTAGGGCATTGGCATACTGCCATCTTATACTTTGGAGATTATGCAACTTAATAGATGCATAAGCATATGAAGTGAGACATTAGATGAATACTGATATTAAACTGCATGAAAACAGTGAAATTAGCACAAACCTCTTGAGAGTCATGTGATTTTGAGTGAATTCATTTGTTTTTTCTTTCTTTTTTTTAATTTTCAGGCCTACCTCAATAACCACTTAAAGCTAATTTTGAAATATCACAAAGAAGAGGGGTAAGTTTTTCCACAAGTGGTTGGTTATAAAGTTACAGCTTGATTTAAAAGTAATAAATTCAGTTTCAAAATGTATGTTGAGGTTTAAGTCGTATTTTTAACAGGGAATGTTAAGCAGAAGATTTCTGGCTTTCTTTTCTTATATTTTTGCATAAAATGAAAATAAAGATAATCATAAAGTTTAATGTAACTAAATGCTAAGCATGGCTATAGTTCTGTATTGATATTAAAAGGTATGGGCAATCAGATTGTAATTTCACAAATCTTAAAATTGAAAAAAAAACTTGTTATTAATTGATATTTTGAAGTAAGATACATTAGTTGTATGTGTTTTTGTTGCATGGGTAGATGTATATAATCAGAGCTAAGTTGTATATATTCGTTGTTTCAATTTTTATGCACAAAACAATATATTTTGTTGCTGTGGTGACAAAGCAGTTAAAGCGTCTGACTATTTTTATCAAAAGCCTCCAACTCTGGGTTGTGGGTTTGAGGCCTACAAAGGGCAGTCACCTGGTACTTGATGTGAGTGGATGGTTTTTTTACCGGGAACTCCAGCTTTCCTCCACCTCCTAAACCTGGCATGCCCTTAACTGACGCTGGCTGTTCATAGGACATAAAACAAGAATGAACTAAACAATATCTATTGACTTTGCAATTTTCATTTTTTATAGGGAAAAGTACCGTGTGGTAGGATTTGAAGTTGAAGCAAAAAGGTAGACACACATTTTGAAAAAGAAAGAAAATTATACAAAGTAAACATTTGTACAATTTACTCAAGTTAATGTGACATTTGAAAACAATTTTTTTTTAATACTTGAAAGCTTTTATATACTGTACTGGTAAAGATATATAGTCAAGCTTGTTTCATTAGCTTTATACATTGCTTCTTTCCACTCGATGATTGATTGAAAATTATGTTGTGACTTCAGTGTGAAGTTTGATGCCATGGAGCTGAAAAGTGATTCCTGTAAGGTCAAAGGTCAGGGAGCTGCTGATCCTCAGAGGATTAATGAAAATGGTAAGGATGGTAGCAGCCGTATAGTGGCTAGCTCAATGATATTGTGTTCTTTTTGACCAAAAGTATCACAAGGTGTCCAAATATTTCAGCTGTTTTGAGACCCACTCTATCAAATATATGTATTGTGCATTTGTGAAATAATCAAAATATTTCATTGTAATTTTATTTTTGTTGAATCTAAACCCTGTTGGCTAATTGGTTTTCCAGATGAGGTCGAGATCTTATTTTCCTACCAAGTGGATTGGGAATCAAGTGAACTACGCTGGGCTTCCCGCTGGGACACCTACCTGACCATGAGTGATGTACAAATCCATTGGTTCTCCATCATAAACAGTGTCGTTGTTGTCATCTTCTTATCAGGTATCTTATTTCTCTTTGTTTAAAGCTGTGTTTTTACATAAATACAGATTTTTAGCAGAGAGGAAGTTGAATTGGTAGGAGGGGGAAACAATTCTTCACCTGAAAAACTATATAAAAAATCATAGTTTTATTGATAATAAAACAATATTATCCTTCTCAGCTGCCAATCAATATAGTATTAAATATTGCTGAATTCAAAGGTAGGAGCATTAGTTAGACTGCATAATAAGTCAGAGTGTATGTCACAGAAACAGAAAGTAAGGATACTACTCTAAAGAATTGATGGATGGATAGAAATGTCAAGTTTTGAATTTCTCTTGTTCTTTAACTGCTGTCTCTAATATTTCAGGTATTCTGACTATGATTATGGTGAGAACACTGAGGAAGGATATTGCTCGATACAACAGAGATGATGATATTGTAAGTATATTATGTATTGTTCTCACATCTATCACGCTCAAAATTATTTGAATGTGCTCATGGGAGTAATGATATTTTGTCATGTATAATAACATTGTACGCCATGGGTCAAAGGAGCTGGAATAGTCCAAATTATTCTAACGTTCTATCAACAATTTTTTTTTTACTTTTGAATTCCGTTTCAACTTCGTGCAGCTCTTTCCCCCACCTTTTTATTGGGCCAAAGTTCTGATATTCAAGAACTCCAGACAATGAAAAAAAGTCAATTAACATCAGGAGAATTCTCATAAGGGCTGCTTATGCCAAATAGAAAAAAAGGATTGTTGACAGTTAAAAGGTAAATGTTCATCATTTGTTTACTTCACAGCAGACACTTAGCAAAACAAATGAGTTTGTTTTCAATGTGAATTTCAATATGTAAATATTTTGTGTGTGTGTGTAAATATTAAGATTGCTGTGCCTGTCCACTAGTCTTTATAAATCTGTACAGTCAACATATAAATATATGCTTGATTAGTTGGACCAAACTTGTTATCCCCCCCACGAAACTCATTTGCAGGGGATATTGATTTGGGCTCCGTCCATCCGTCTGTCTGTCCGAGGGCTTTTACAGGCTATAACTTCAAAACCTTTCAGTTAAACTTCACAAAAGTTGCTGTATATATTAAGTCAGTGCCCTAGTTGTGCCATTTGCTATTGATGACATTTCATCTTTTATATTTTTTGTGTTACCATGGAAACTTAGTCAAAAAACACAAAATTAGCAGAGCTTCAGATGATTTTGCATTTACATGGGTCATAGGGCCCATCTAGCCCAAAAAGTAAGGGTCATTTTTCAAAACCATGGGCCAGCAATTCTGAATGATAAATAGACATAATTTTAACCTTTGTGTATATATTTTTTTATTTATTCATTTTACAAACAGAGAAGATAGTTCTTCGTTTTTTAATCCTCCACAGCTGGACTGCCCTTCCAATGTCAAACTTCCCCAGCTCTGACCCACTCACACAAACACGCATCGATTTGTCACATGTCTCTGGGGAGATGCTTGCCCTTTTAGCTGTGGTGATGTAGTTCTGAACACTAAAAGATCTTTCACCATCAGCTGTATGTGTGGGACTGGTGAGTGCAAGGGCAGCTTGGAATTTTTTCTTTGTGGTATTGATGGATGAGGCCCAGAGATCCACCATCATGTCTCACAGAAACACTACTTGCTTACATACCTGCCATTCCTGTTTCATTGCCTCTCCGTCTATATAGGGTCCTACTACCTTTCTCTCATTCATACCATTCACTGTCCACTCATACACCTTCTCTGTTCCAAACTGGTCAATCAGCACTTGCAATTTTTTATTTCCACTCACAAACTGTTTCCCTTGGCCTAAACTTGAAATTGGGTGAATGCTCAACAAACCATACACAGCTAGAATGTCTGTTTGTGGAAATACGCAGCTAGAATGTCTGTTTGTGGAAATCTATGTGACAGATTTTCATTTAGTTTTTCAATAAATTTTGCCACAAGTGTTGAAGGCAAGTTGTTCATGGAAATCTTACAGTTTTTGTAAGTTGTGTCATTTTTGTCGATATCGCTGTCCAACAGTTTTACAAAAGAATTGCCCTGCTTACCCTCAGGGATTTTCTTGAGTGTAGCTTTACATGTTTCCAGGTAAACACCTACCTTTGCAGGATCAAGATTCTTTTTCTGGAATGATTGTGATAATATCATAATTGGTGCTAGAACATTTAACATCAGATGGGTGAGGTACACAAATTTGGAAGTACAAATTTTCCTAGCCATGCCCTCACCTTTCGGATCTTTGCTTTTATCAATTCCCTCGAAGTATGTGAGGAGGGCAGGGAGACTTCTTTGAATAGAGGAAAGTGCTTCAAGAAATGATAACCATCGAACCTGATGAACCTCCCTGACTTAAAGTGTTGGAAGTTCTAGCACTTTTTGGATTTTTTCAAGAGTTTGAACTTTTGCAAATGCATGTTTGAAATAATAAAACAAGTCAGTAAGTGTCTGTTGAAACTCTTTCAAAGTTGGAAAGATTTCTGTACATTGGCTGCTCACCAAGGCAAGCATGTGCGCAAGACAACGTACATTTACAGTCATGGGATTCTGTTTTGATTACAGACTGTTTTCATTCAACACTCATTGTAATTAACTGTTTAACACTTCAATTTTTACACCAAACCCGCTGACCCATTTCTCTATTGTTGTGAACGGGTCGACTCGTCACTAGCCAAAAAAATATAATAATGTAAATCTCATTCTATTTTACAATTACGTTACTGACAGTAACACTACCTTTTTCATATTTGAAGTATTTACTTACCGATTCTTCTTTTTTTCATAATGAATTTGTCCATGACAACTCAAAATTCCGTCTGACATATTCCCAGCAAAATGTGTTGTTCGATTGTATGATCTTACAGATTCGCGGAAAACTTGCGTAAGGCAAACTACTTTTGTTTTAGCATATATTTGCCATGCGCCAGCGGGCCCTTGTGGAAAGGAAGTTGTGCATCATTTTCAAAATTTATGCAGGATTGACGTGGGCGCACCGTCAATCTGAAGCTCTGAATTAGTGTTAACTTTCCTTTCGGGACTACAACTAAAACCATTCCATGCAACTTTACAAAACTTTCTGTATATATTCTGTTATTGCCCCAGTTGTGCCTTTTCTTATTGATGACATTTCATTACATCTGTTTTTATCTTTTTTTTGTTACCTTCATTTGTCAAAAATTTTTGTGACTTGTATTACTCCAGAGCTTATAGTGTATTGTATATATATGATATAACATATTTTCCGGATTATAAGCCACAGCTTTTTTCCTTTGCGGTCGGGCATGTGGCTGAAGTACCAGTGAGAAAAAAAAGCCATGAAAAAAAGTTTTAATCTATGAATAAAAAACATAAGAGGAAGAATATAAGCATCGACCACACATTTATTAAACATCAGCATAATTGGGCTAAGGGGCTGTAACAGCTATGGTACTTGACATAATTTTGCTTTGTTTCTCCTTCTTCATTCATGAAATAAGTATGTACCTTCTGATCTCACTTTCTATGTAACGAGTCTTATAAAGTTTTTCAGGGCCTATATGAATATTTGAAGGTCTTTTATTATTGATGGTAAAAAAGTGAAATTTTAAATGCATACACTCTGGTTTGTCTGCATGAATAAACAGTCACCAGGTCTTACATATCTTCATAAGGGACACATGATCTTTTTGAAAAGTGCAGCTTTATTTTTTTGTTTCAGGAGGAGACCATGGAGGAAACTGGCTGGAAGCTTGTCCATGGTGATGTGTTTAGGCCACCAAAGCATACCAAGTTGTTGTCCTCACTAGTTGGGTCAGGACTTCAAATTTTCTGCATGTCTCTCATCACTATTGGTATGTATTGTGTTGTCATAGGTACTAAAATAACAGTCATTTTATTTATCTTGGACGAGGAGGAGCAATGTTCTATTAACTACATTAGGATACCGGGTTCTAAGAAAATGAAATATGGCACTCACGACAGATGCCCTTTTAATATAAGAAAACATATATATCTCAAAGCATATCGAATTATATGTTTGGATTTTTTACAGATAAAAAAATAATTACAGATTCGGTCATAGCAATTTAATGTCAAATGTATGTTGGTCCAATTTCAAAATGTCTTGTTTGTAAACACATGTTGTTCGTAAGTTTTTTGTTTGACCTTTGACTTCTGTTTCAGTGTTTGCTATGTTGGGGATGTTGTCTCCAGCCTCCAGAGGAGCACTGCTGACTGCCTCCACTTTCTTATTTGTCTTCATGGGGTTAGTATACTGTGGTTTACCAGTTGTTCCTCCACATATCAGGGTATCAAATACCATGTCTTAATATCAAAATATTAAATATCTTTTTTATTCTTTGAGAACGGCCCAGCATAAAAGGAGAAGAAATGTACCTGTTGCATCCATTGCATGATTATATGATGCAATGAAAGTTGGAGTCTTTATGTTTTCTCTTTACAACTTATTATTTTTCCTTAATGTCTCCCTTGACGCTGCCTCACTTTTGTCGTTTGACTGAGAATTTGCCCCTGTGAGGAGTGTTGGGTTATCTCCCCTGGCTCAGTCATACTTAAGTCATTCGAAGTTGTAGTTACAATTGCCTGCTGAATGCTCAGCATAGTGGTAATGTAACAACTTGCGCAGCTGTTGACAGTATAATATGTTACTGGCCACTTCCTGCAGTATGCTTCAGTTTGATAGCACTAGAAACTTGACTTCAGTTCCACACTATCACCATGAAGCTCATATGAATATATTGCAGCCTCCAAAATAAGTCATTTGCATATTGTGCCTTTTGAAGACATAGTCTTGATAATTTGAAAATGGATTAATTTTTTTTGACCGTCCTGTCTGTATTTTCATTTTCCTTATAACTGTAAATAGTGATGCTATGATTGAAACTTAACAATGCTTTATCTGATTGTGCAGTAATTTTTGTTTGGTTTTCTTTTCAGTGTATTTGCTGGTTATTTCTCTGCACGATTGTACAAAACAATGAAGGGAAATACATGGAAGAAAGCTGCTTTACAGGTTTGTGTAGATTTTGATGAAAAAGGAAGTTAAATCAGTTTAAAATCTGAAAAAGTGTCCTCATTCTTCTATAAGAGAACAAAATGTTCTTTAAATAAATGTTATGGGGGTAGTGAGGGGCAAGGGTGGGGGGTGGCTTTTAAGAGTTCTTGTTTGAATCTTAACTTTGATAGAAAGGATGAACAGTTAGTACTTATTGTCTTACCTTTAGGTCCCAAGGGGACAAATTGAAATCAAAGTACATTTAATATAAGTCTTATTTATTCATTTGAATAGATATGTAGTTTCATTTTTTTTTTTTTTTTCAGACATCGCTTTTCTATCCAGGTATTCTGTTCGGAACCACATTCTTCCTTAATTTTTTCATATGGGGGAAACATTCCTCAGGAGCAGTAAGTATGTTACTTTTTAGTACAGAACTATAAAGGCAATTCATACAGAACCACTTTTCCCCCCAAAAAATTGAAAAAAACAAAGAATTTTTTGTTCAATGAAGATGGATAAAAAAAGGTATGATTTTCTTTTAAAGAAGTATTCAAATCATTTATTGTAAAATGAAAAACATCATTGTATGAAAGAATCTTTTAAAAAAAGATAGCAGTGAATGTCTGTGAATTAGAGTTTGTCCAAGATTTAATGTTTTTCAAATATAAAATAGATTGAAAAATACTTCTGCTTGGATTAATTGGTAAATTTGTCTCTTCCAGCTACCGTTTACCACTATGCTGGCTTTACTGTGTATGTGGTTTGGAATCTCAACTCCATTGGTCTTCATCGGGGCCTACTTTGGCTTCAGGAAACAGGTATATGTCTGCAACATTGTACAGAGAGGTTTGGGCATTTTGGTACAGTTTCCATTAAGGAACATTTGGTGTAGGTCAATCATTAGTAGGGAACTAGGTTTATCAGTTGTTAAGTCCTTTATTTAGAGTTTAGGTTGAAGGCCAAGTCCTCAATAAGATTTAGTGAAATACACTATATTTTTGCTGAGAGTTATTCTACTAAAACATTTGCTTGATCACAGGAATCCAAAATACTTCTATCCATTGTTCAGTTTCCTGCCTACTATTCTTAAGCAAATCATCAATTCAATTCTATGGATGGTATCTCAAAGCAAATGCTAAAGTGCTGCTTTTGAGAAACTGGAATAGCCCTGAAAATCTTTCTTGAATGTTTTCCTCTTCCTAAGGATACCGCGGCATCGTCTGTCCATCCGTCATCCGTTGTCTGTCAACTTTTTTGACAAACCCTACTAGTCATGAGAGACTGAATGGATTTTGATCAAGTTTGGTCAATAGTATCCTTAGGGGAAGAGAAACATAGTTTATATAAATAATATGTCCTGCCCCCCAGAGCTTGAAGGGTGGTACCCAATAGGTGGTTTTTTTCATGTTTTTTAAAATCCTACTCTTCCTGCAGAATGATTGGATTTTGCCTAAATTTGGACTGAAATATCTTTGAGTGAAGGGGAATCAATTTGTATAAATGGTGGGTCTCGCCCCTCCCTTGGGCATCAAGAAATAAACACATTTGTTAAGCAAGAATTGACCCTTAGGTGTGGTACACCTCTAGGGACATTATTTCTGGGTCATATATTTGATATAGCTGAGATACCAATCTTATAACCATATAAACACTTGCTTGGCATCAAAAGAAAAAGAAAATAATGATATAAGAATTTAGCGATTGGTCTTTCCCCATCCAAGGGGTTAAATGACTGAGCTTTAATTGGATGTATTTGAAATACCCAACCTATAGGCATGCGTATCATTGCTGGGCTTTAAGATCCAGGTGAGTGATACAGGCTCTATGGGCTTCTTGTTTAGAGTTTACTGTATGGGAAAAGCATTATCCATTTTATTCTTAAATTCTCCAATAAAGTTTATGACGAAGTAAACTTCCATCTGGAGTTGATAAAGTCACAGTAACTTATTGGGAATAGGAAGGATTAATTATTAGGATCTGATATTATAATACAAAAAATGTGTTTTTGTTCAACAATTGTTGACTTATGATGCTATATATTACAGCCATACCAACACCCAGTAAGGACTAACCAGATACCTCGCCAAGTGCCTGAACAAATGTGGTATATGAATCCATCCCTCGGGTAAGTTCTCATCATATTACACTGTATTTAATTGAAGTTTTAAAGAGGAATCAATTTCTGTGCCATATTAAAATGGTAGAGTATCTCTTATTTGTAACTTCGGAAAGAAATCTTTGATGTATTTATCTTTATTACAGTTTGACTTTCCAAATTCGTTTACTTTTTTATTTTTAATGTTTAATAAAAATGAAGTTGAATAAATTTGAGTATGGTCTAGATTTTCATTAACTTCTGTTACTGATAGAACTGGAAAAAATATATATGTACATTTATGATATAATTTGTGAATCCTCAGGTATATGAGAATTATGTTTATCTTACAGTGTGATGATGGCAGGTATTCTACCCTTTGGAGCCATGTTTATTGAACTCTTCTTCATTTTCACAGTAAGCACCTGTTTGATGTTTATTTGATGTGAAATTTTATTTCATGAAACATTTACATTTCTTTGTAGCAAATGGGTTTTCTCTACATTCAAGTCTCTTGCTGAAAAAATCATTACTTTTGGTTATATAGTTCCATTTTAGAATATATTAGTACTTGTCAAATACAGAATTTCTTGTGATTTTACTGTAAAAGAATTGATTTTCATAGGGAATTTTTTTATTTTATATTGTTGGTACTCATAACAAAATTGTATTTCCTATCCACAAATTCCAGTGTCCACAAATTCCAGTGTCCACGAAATAGTAATTTTAATGCAAAAAAAAAAACATGAAGGCCCATGAAAATACATGATATTACAACATAAATAAATAGTGTCATGGAACTAAACCTTTATTTAGTGATTATGTTAACTTCCAGGATATCTTCTGTTTCAGGCTATATGGGAGAACCAGTTTTACTATCTTTTCGGGTTCCTGTTTCTGGTGTTTGTGATCCTGGTGATATCTGTGTCTCAGATCTCCATAGTGATGGTCTACTTTCAACTGTGCGGAGAGGTCAGTACATATATAACACTGATTTTAATGCTCAACCTCCTGTGAAGTGTTCAGCTATTGTCAAAATATTAGTTGATCAACAGCAATATGCTTTGTTAAACTGGGCACACATTTTAATGACATTGTTAAGATTCTGGATTCTCATTCTCAAATTGTAATGCACATAAAGTATCTCTAATGCAAAAAATGAATTGAATTAACTTAGACAAGTGTAGTGTACTTTAAAAAACTGATTTCAAGCATTTGGTAAAATCATGAAAATTTGTCCAAAACGCTTTTAATTTAAATGAGGAAAGTTTGTGCAATTTTGTCATGGATTGTAGGTAACACTTTGATGTGATACTCAGAAATAAGATAAAATATAACATGGGTGTTGTATTTGAATGTGCATTGTATTTCACCATCTCTGAAATATCTTTCATCATATCCGCACCATGCTTCTTATTTCCCTTGTCTGTGAAATACTTTGATAGCATATAAAGAATATATATACTATGTGGGATGTGTGTGGTATTTACCAGTCTCAGAAATATTTTCCCTTTTAACTAGACCATGTGTTGTATTTCCCCAGGACTACCACTGGTGGTGGAGATCATTCATTGTGTCTGGAGGATCAGCAGTCTATGTTCTAGCTTACTCACTCTTTTACTTTGTAACTAAGGTAAGTGTGTTTCCTTTTTACCATTTAGATTTTCAATTTTTAGAATCATAAATAAAACAAGGTTTCTGTGCCATATGATATTACAACACTGTGTCTTGGGTCATATTCTTGACTTTTCATAAAACACTATATTGTGATGTTTACATGTTTATGTGATTTCAAACAACAGATATTTTTAGGAATCAAATCAACTAACTTGAGTTAAAACATATCTTGCGATTTAGTATATCTATATCCCTGATTGTGGAGAATATGGATTTATTATTGAAATTGTTGTTTTAAGTCCATTTTGTCCTATCAACGCCTTTTTTGACATTAGAAACATGTCTTTTCCCTACTATTATTTGAATAAATTGACTAGCTACTCTGTCAGAAAAATGTTTCTTGACAAACAAGAGTTAAAACTCCTCATTTTCGGAAACAAATACCAGAACTCTTCATATTTCTTAATCAGTTAAGACTGATGTTTGCTGTGTGAAAGTATATATACCATGTGAGTATCAACTGTGTTGAAGTCATAACTTTTTTTTAATCTCAAATATATACTATCTGTATAAATATATGATAGTTCAAAGGATTTTCCTGATGGATCAGTATAAAAGATGTATGATTTATTACACTTAAAACTATCTTCTTTACAGCTTGAGATTACCGAATTCATTCCCACTCTTCTGTACTTTGGCTACACCTTTCTAATGGTGCTGACCTTCTGGCTGCTGACCGGCACCATCGGCTTCTATGCTGCTTACCTTTTCATTAGAAAAATTTATGGAGCCATCAAGATTGACTGACAGATATGCGCTTTTAGGCTTTCCTTATCAAATTTATTTCTTGGAATCTTATCTTATGACAAACAGTTGGGAGACAAATGGTTAATTAGCATTTATATGTAGTGTATTCTGTAAGATACAGTCTACTGTGTTGGACAAGAGAGGAGTATGTATGTGTTTTGTGTCTTGGCCTTTGATGTACAGTTGTTAATAAAAGAGGTATGAAGTCTTTGTTAAATATTGAAGTGATGCTTTGTTACTTGAAAACAAATTTTGGTTATGTTGTTCTCAAAGATTTTAAAATTCAATTTCATAGTTGTATCTTGATGCCATACATCCTTATTGTAACTATTTTGAATTGGGACTAATCTTTTATTAAGTGAATATTGAAATATTACTTTCAAACAAGAAAATGGTGCCAGTGATATTTGGAACATGAAAATTTGAGTTCTGAACTTTTTCTGTTTGGTTCAATAGAACCTAGAATTAATGCTGTGTTTATTATGTGTATTTTGCTATAGATATTTAGGAATGCTAGGAAAAAATGGTCATAATATCATGTCATACTTGATGTAAATCTTTAATCCTAATATTTTCATATTGTACCTGTGTGAAGGAGAATCGAATATAAATGCATTTTATTGTATTTTTTTAATCTGTTTTAATGCAATATGATAACTAGCAGACTTCAAAACAGGTCAATGACTACTTCCAATCTTGGTGCATTTCTAAATATCTCATTCTATTAAAATCAGACAAAGATGATATCTATATCCTATCCTTCATTGTGGCTATAGTTTGATTTTAATATCGTATTGAGGGGATACCAGTATTCCATATCATTACTGTAAACTTTAAACTAAAATTGATTTTTTTCTGTCTACATGTGTGTACCTTGTACTATTCCCCTTAAAAGTACATTTTCTCCCCAAAGTCGCAAAGTCTATGCAGCGTAGGTGAGTGTGGTCGTATAATTATCAAGTGAAGTATGTACAGGAATTTGTGCTTGTAAATTTTCGATGTCAAGTGCAGATAGTTTTTGTGTTTATTTTATAGAGCTACCAGATTGCAGAAATTTGTATAGTAGTGTTGAGTGATTTATTTAGTATAGAAACCACTTTACAATGTCATGATGTATCTGCTTAGTTTTATGTCTAAGAGATTGAAGAAGAAACCATTGACATGCAGGCTGTGTTGTATATAAGCTCACAGATCAAAATGTGAAAATAAAATAGAAAAGGTCTGTCAAAAACAAACTACTCACAAACCACAAAACTGGTAAAAAAAGCATGTATTACATTTTATAAGAGTGCTTGTAACAGTGGTTGATAATATATTTTTTTTCATTTTTCAATTTATACAAAAACACTGTAGATTTAATGTTCAGTGCACTATATAACTCATCCTTTCAATCTTAGTTCTTCTTACCCTAGGTTGTTGGCTACCCCTATAGCTTAGTTTACATCACCTGGGGCCTTGTAGTTTCAAATATAACAATCAAATGTATATCTTACAGATATTACCAAGAATTGATAAATCACCGGGTGTTTCTGTGAGCAATTAGTACTGGTCCAACTCTTCAGAAAATAATAATATAAACCTTGATCATATTCACAGATAAATGTACAGTGCAACACAGAAAATACAGACAGTACGAAAAGTGTTTTGGGTTAGATAGGTTGAAAGATAAACATCAATTCCATACAGATGTCAAGAGTAAATAAGTGTTTACTTTCCAATTCGGAGAGAATAATGTACTGTATTACATCATCACCAGGATGGAATTTTTTAAAGATTCCTTTGTACGTTGTCATTTTTTCAGTTATTTTTTTAACATATTTTGTTATTCAAATTAAATACACAAGGGAGATAATTAATCCTGTCATCAAGACATAATATCAAACTTTCATGAAAGCGGTGTTTTAAGTAAATCCAGAATATGTAGAAATTTTTTTTGAAATTTGATTTACTGATTCACATTGTGAGTTCATATTGTGGAATAATGTGATATTTGAAAAAGGCTTTATTGTGTCCAAGTTGAAAATGGTGATGTTTATAACATGTAGATGGGATGACAGATGGTTTTGTTCACACTTATGAATGATAACTTTTTTTATTTGGAGAGAAAGGGATTTTTTTTAATGTACATAATTTGTTTAACACCTTCATGAGTGATACTTTCATATGTACATAGCATATATATACAATACAATATTGCTTTATTTATACAAACAGATAATTCACAAAAAACATTTGTTTACATCTGTCATTCTCTGCGTCAGGTTGTTTAGATGTACACATTTATTTTTTCTAAGCAACATTTGAGTGCACCATGATAAAGTCTATATTATTAACATTCTTGCTGAGGTATTTTCATCACTTGCTCTAATCTTCCAGTAATATTTCTTTATATTTGCTTAATATATATACTGAGGTGTTATACTACCCTTCTGATTACTTACAATCTTGTTTGTCAGGTAAAGCATTCCTGGAAGGAAAACTGCTTTATCTGGTTAACATAGAATGCACACAGGTCATAGGATTTGCTTTCTTTCACAATTGATTTGATGAACAGATAATTTTCATTTCTTTAAGATGAAAATATTGAAATCCATTGTAGATATAACATAATATGTAGAAAATGTGTAAGTGTATGCTCAAATACCTCTACTGTTGTATTGAATTAATAGTGCTATTGAAGCTAATTAAGTTCATATTAACTGTCAGAAGGAAAGTGACCAAGCTGGAGTACTAATGATATGGCATTGCATTTTAGTAGTTTCAAATGTAGAACAAATGTAGTGGGTGAGATATTTGATATTTTGTAGTTTTAATCATTTAATATAACATACCTGGATTACTGAATTGTAATCACTTTTCTGTAATACAGTGGGGAGGTACTCAAATGTTGGAGCATTTTGGAAAATGTTAATTTTTGGCATTTCATCATGGGGATAGATTTATACAGGTACAGTAATTTAAACATGGCTATTTTATTTATGATCCATTATAATCATTGGTATCTTGTTTGATAATAAATGAATTTAAACCTTATTTGTCTTTTCTTTCTCTCAATACACCAGGACAACATACACCTACAACAGTGACAACAACAGGACAACATACACCTACAACAGTGACAACAGCAGGACAACTTACACATGTATCACAGTGTCTACTCACGAGGACAACAAAGAGTGTACACCTATACCCAGTTCTTGTTGAATATCATCAGTAAAACAAGAAAATGTTTTTGAAACAAAAATTTTAATCATAAAAAATTGAAAAATATGAATACATGGAAATGAATAATCAATACTTCCATTGTGTTGCCCTGTTTAATTAAGTCTTTTTCACGGGGTGGTTGCCGTTATTCACCATATTCACCATCTTGTCACATCGGTAACACCATGGAGTCAACTCCTTTAGCTCGATGCGGAAGTTCGTTCCATCAATGCTTTGATCTTATCAATCGCATAGAGTTTAATTCAAAGAATGTATCACAATATCATTGGAAAGGTCGCTCACACTAGCTACTCCAAAATCTCTACTCAATTCAACAAACGCCTTCGTGACGCCCCAGATGATATTTTCTGCACAGCCTCACGAGAATATCCTTAACTCCGTTCGAAAGTCCACTCCATAACTATCAAAAAGTTTGATGTTTTGGAAAGTACGGTCTTGGAGAGAAAGCGACATTGATAAATATAAATAAAATGTTGGGAAAGTTTGAGACGTTGGTATAATTTCCTTATCGGAGATTCAGCTCCCTTAACTCCATTCGGGACTTGAACCTGATTGCTATCTCAAGTGTCTAGTGGATTCATTGACGCATGGCGGGAATTTGGATACTGTCTTCGTCTATCCCCCGATTTAATATCTTGGAACATTGCAAACCTGTTCAAGTATGTTCGTCGAAATTTTGATATGCATTTCGAAATGCTCAGTTAAAATTTTCTTTAATATACGCTACAATAAGCTTGTACTGCACTGTGAAACCTGCCTCAGTTTTAATGGAACCTGTCATTTACCATTGGTAATTTTTTGTGACCTTGTGATGCTCTTGTACTTTTCTGTTCGCCACTGACAATGAACTGACTTTTAGGGGAGGGAGCTGACCATCTTCTTTATGAATATTGATGTACTGGGCAGTTGGCTGCAGAGCATGCGAAGATTCCGAGGGCCTTGTAGCTCCAGGGATAGCAGGAAGACGGGCAACGTTTGAGGAAGCCGTTCCAACAGAAGACGAACCTTGTACTCTATTTGTCGATTCGATGAGTTTACCAAGCGATCCATATTTCAAGTTTGAATACTCTGGTGTAAACGCGTATTTTGGCATTGATTTTGTTTGGCTGGGTTTGAAGTTTGGCTGTGGAATCCATGTATCTTTAGACATGAAGGCATTTCCATTCCCTACAAATTCCTTGTCGCTTGACGGTATGAAATGACACGGTTCTCTCCCATTTGACATACGGCAGTTGTAGACACTAGCGGGAACAGCTTTCAATGGGGGCAAATCATATTTTGGAGATGTATCCTTTTGAATCTCCTGTTTACTTTTATTTCTTTGTGAAGTAGGTTTCTTTTCTTTCTTTGGCGTCACTGCAAAATAACACAAAGTGTAAGTTAAATTCGTAATATTCCATTGAAAAAAAGTAAAATAAATATCGGTATTTTTCTACCGTTTAACTCTTAGCAATTAAAAAAGAAAAAACCCACTTACATTGTTGGTCAGGCTGGAGAGGAAATACTGACTCCTCTGAACTGTCTAGGTGAATGTTGTGGATATTCTCAGCTTCATTTTCCAAATTTGGTGATCCGGGAATCGGGGTCATTACTTGGACGGATCCGAAGTTTCCGTAGTACATGGTTGTTTCACCGATTACCAAACACTTATCCTTGAAAGATTTCTTAAGACTTTTGGATTTAAAAGATCCAGTTAAAGATGACATTTTCAGCTTGTTCAACTTTGCTTCATCCATTGTATATCTCGTTTCTTTTTCTAAGCAGTATAGGAAAAGCAGCCGACTTGAAAGTCTATATAACGTAGCTATGGAAAGAATTATGGGAACTCCAATTATGCCGTATTTTAGATATTGTGACGTCATGTTCATTGTGACGCCATTAAAATGGCTTCGCAGCCAGGATCATCACATGCAACGGATGGCATGTCGCAAGCAGTCTTTGCTATAAACTTAACGGGGATCGGTCTATTATTACACAAAAAGAAATTACTATCCAAGATTGAAGTGCGAAACAAAATATAACCTTGTTTATTGATAAATATATATCAATTACCCCTGTTTCTTTATTTTCTTTTCTTTTTCTTTTTCTTTTTTTTTCTCGCTGATATACTTTTTCAACCTTTCTTTTATTCTGATTACAGAAACGCAGTTTTATAATGTCACAATACAGCATCATCTGCTTAATGATTATTTCCGTATATGAGTTTTTTTATACGTCTTTACAACTTTATTGTCATCCTATTGTCAGAAAATATACTGAAGAGCTTGCCGGGAAAATATGAATAACGTATGGCCTATTTGGAAGGAAATCAAATTGTTATGTTATCTTTGCCAGATTAAGTTTTTGCAATGATTGGGTTTGAGAGATATAATGTCTGTTTTTCCGTTATAAACAAATTAATCAAGATATTATTTTTGCGTTAAAAATCGTTTTGATTTTTACATCTCCGCGGGGCGGGGGAGGGGATAGAGGAAACTTTGCCTGATTGCATTAATGGTCTATATTATAATTCGTACGTACATTTTTCACGGGAGTATTATCGAATAGCGCCCCGGTCCGTATTTTTTTCCACTGGAAATCTGTTTCAGTCTGTGAAATTTGAAGGCTTTAATATCATAACATATCATTGTGCTTTCTAGAACAATATTCTAATTTGATGATATCAACTTAGAGAGTCTTTTTGCCCTTATTTTTTTCGCATTTCAATCCCAAGTTGTTCATGAACCTTCTCATCCAGTTTGAGTCGGTCTTTTCGGCCCGTCTTCATTCATTGCTCTCTTTTTACCTATAGCTATGAAATATATATATATGAAATAGCAACACTAATTTCTGTTTCTATTTGCGAACACCTAGGTGACCATTACTAATTCTATAATTAGTGACGAGTGCATATCAGCCAGTAAACAGTATTTGGAAGTATAATTCGGTGAAGCAGTTTCATGTAAATCATGCATATACACTTCCATTGTTTAGGTATTTCCTGGCAAAAATGCTTGTTCATCGGTTTGGTAACTCGTTGGAGAAGCGGGCAAGAGAGAGGCAGTAGTACACAGTTTCTCGGTGTGAGTATTTGTTCATTAGATTACCCCATTATGAAGGTTTTAATTAAATTTGAAAAAAATAAATCCTTGCTAAAATCGGTCTTGTCATATTAAAGTGGACAATGTGGGGTTTCATTTTTCTTCCAGAATAATATTTCAGCTTTGTGTTGGAGATTACTATTTGGGCAGTCTCGAATCTGTGTCTACGCACCAGAAACTAGCTTTACAGGAAGTGAAATTTTCATAGTGTTTACATGTGGTCATGTTATGAAGGATTTCCGAGTTGGAATTGGCTGAAATGTAAGTACTTTGTTACCACGACAGTGTTGTTGATTTTGAAATAGGTGTTTAGAATTAAATTTCTTCTAGAAAGTTGTAGTGTTAAGTTGAAATTAACAGTATTTTTGCATTTTTAGCATTTTTTTTCAGTAGGTAACCATGACAATCAAATGTCAGAAATCAGGGGATTTTTTTTATTTACACAAATTTCATCTCTCTACTGTTAATGTAATTGTTATGTAGCTTATAAAAATATATACATGTAATAATGTATTTTTCATAACCAATCTGCTATACCTGTATATCTCAAACATAACCAATAATTTCAGGAAAAATGCAAATTAATTCTTCACTGCTACCAGAGTAAACAAAAAAGATGTTGCAGCTCTGCCATGATTTTTCCCGACCCTGCCTTCCTGATATAACCGCCCATTCCTTATCGATACCCTCTACCTTTCCTATATTACTGCTCCGCCTTATATCTATCCCCCTACCTTCCCTATATTACTGCTCCGCCTTATCTATATCCCCCTACCTTCACTACATTACCGACCCATCCTTGTCTATATCCCCTACCTTCCCTATATTACTGCTCCACCTTATCTATATCCCCCTACCTTCCCTACATTAATGCTCCACCTTAACCATATCCCCCTACCTTCCCTATATTACTGCCCCGCCTTATCTATATCCCCCTACCTTCACTACATTACCGACCCATCCTTGTCTATATTCATCTACCTTCCCTACATTACTGCTCCGCCTCGTCTATATCCCCTACCTTCACTACATTATTGCTTCACCTAATCTATATCCTTCCCTACATTACTGATCCGCCTAATCTATATTCCCCTACCTTCCTTGTATTACTGCTCCGCATTATCTCTATCCCTGCCTTTCCTACATTACTGCCCTGTCTTATCAATATCCCCGCCCCTGCCTTCCCTACATTACTGCCCTGTCTTATCAATATCCCCGCCCCTGCCTTCCCTACATTACTGCTCCGCTTTATGTATATCCCAGCCCCTGCTTTCCCTATATTACTGCCTTTCTTTGTATCCCTGTCCATATGTTACGTCTTTCGCCTCAACGTTATCCCTGCCCTCTCTTATTTATATCCACGCCCCTGCTTTATTATATCCCAGTCCTGGCATTCCATATTTGACTGCCCCTTCCTTCTTTGTATCTCTGTCAATGTCTTCCATATAATACTTCTCTCGTCTTATTTTATCACCGCCCCCGCCTTCCCTACATCACTTATCACTTATATTTCCACCCTTGCGTTCGCTACATCACGGCCCCGCCGTACTTATATATCCACTCCTGCATTCCCTACATCACTTGCCCTGTCTTCCCTGCACCACGGCCCTGCCATACTTATCATCCCCGCCCTTGCCTTCCCTTCATCACTACCCCCGCCATACTCGTATTCCCACCCCTGATTGCCCTACATTACAGCTCCTACCTTTCCTAAACTGCATTGAAATGTACAGCGTATGACATTTCCCTTGGATTTTGCATTTTTGTAAGATGAATTTTCCATTTAAAAAATCCAAATAAAGATTGATTTATTGTGACGTCATCAAATGAAAGTTATCACTCTGGAAACAGAGCCGAGATTGCTTAACGACGCGGGAGGAAAATGTTTCGTCTCTGTTTCATATGGTATTTCTGAAACTCTCCTTTTGGCTAGCATAAGTCTCCATAAAATGATTTTTTAAGACTGGTTCTGAAGTAAATACTTATTAAACATCGTATACATTATTTGCTTATCCAATGAATGTTGACATTTTTCATTCTCATCTGAGTCGTCTCTGTAGACGTCGTATGTTATCTCAGAAGAAATCTGCGACATACTGTTTATATACAGAATTTTACAAACGCTTATCCCTGTATCTATCACACAAACTTGTTATTCTGTCATTCACTCCTGGATGGTACATCCGGGATCCCATGAGATGCGTGCGCATCGTTAGCATTCATAGCGTGTTTTGTTAGCAAATAGTACAGAGGGAACTGCGTTCCTCTGACTTTATATCGCCTTTTATACTTTCATTATTTGTTTCACACCCCCAGAGGCTCTCTAGGGTTTACTTGTTGGTTTTCACTGTTCGTGTAAATACTTTTTACATTTCTGAACACTACCGTCTCGGCATATTTTCACGTTTTCTTGTGAGGAGGGGCTCCCTCTCGGGCGCGCTTAATGGCCGCCATCTTGGAAAAACGTAAAATCGTGAGTGAATTTGATTTTGTTGGGGACATTCTGAACAATATGGAGCCCCGTTACACGGAAAAACCCAACAAAAAAGGCAACAAAGGCAAAAAATCCAATGTTACACATAACACTGGCGGGAAGCCCTCTTCCTCCCAGGGTACTGCCGACAAACATTCGGCACAAGATGTCGGCTCGACCAACCAAGCCTCGGACACCAGGCCACCAGTACTTATGGACACGGAACAGCCATCGCTGCCGGGGCCGTCTGGTTTACAACCCTCTACGGGTTTTCAAGATACTCTAACGTCAGTTCTTGTTAACATGCAGAACATGATGACACATCAAATGCAAATGTTTGCGGAAATGCGAACATTCGATCAAAGATCGTTATTCACAGGGGAAGGTTCCGACGACAACATGAACAATGACAGTGAATCTGTCGATCTGTGCGATCGGATAGATGCTTTACTCGGGGACACGCAATCTGACCACGAAGAGAAAAGTGATAATAGACCGGCCGCGGATAATAATGACCAAGGTGCTAATCATGGCGATACCTGAGTACATGAAAAGCCTAGCACAAGACCTCTCAAACGTGGACGCCACTGGCCCCGAGCTTTCAAATGAAAAATTATCAAGGCTCCTCGGGGATCTGCTAGTTAAACGAATGGCAGACGAGAAAATTAAGGTAAAAATGGACGAATATCCCCGACCTGCAAATGTTGAACTACTCCAGGCACCTAGAACCAACCCGGAGATATGGCGGAAGATTAGCCATAATACAAAGAGCACAGACCTACGCATGCAAAAAGCACAGGAAAAATATTGAAAGGGTTAGTTCCCCTTGCTAGAAATCTCCAGAATATCACTTCCGTAAGAAAAAAATATTACGGATAATAATGTGAACGCGGTACTGGACGAGTTGATGAAAAATACACTCGACAGCTTTACGCTTATCAGTGCGGGTTCGCAAGAGATAAGTCAGAGAAGACGGGAACTGATCAAGCCTGATTTGAACAACCAGTTCTCGTCATTATGCTCTACAAACAACCCTGTAACAACACAGCTGTTTGGTGATGACCTACATAGGGTCATGAAAGAAATCATCGAAACAAATCGTGTGGCTTCCAAGGTTTCGTACTGGAACTATTATAGAAAATACAAGGGACAATCAAAATTCTCAAGCAGGGGAAAGTTTGGT